GTTTTTCCCGTACGATACGTGATCTGTATTCATTGTTACTAAAATAACCATGGTACAGCATCCTGACACGTATGAAGCCATTTGTTGTGGTAGATCGGTTAGTAATGGTATTCAGTGTAATAGATGTAGCTCTTGGTACCACAAAAAATGCTCCAAGATATCGAAGCAGTGCTGTAAGCTGCACCTCAACATGGAAAATTAAAGTGGATATACACACTGCGTGTCTCTGATAGAGGAATGTTCACGCATTCCGAGAGGAGCATGGTAGGGGCTGTTACCACCAAGTCACCAAAAACCTCCAATAATCGCTTGGCGAAACGAGCAACGAAGCAGGCAGAGGTGCTCAATCCTAGCGTTATACATACTATGCAGGAAAACAATGGAAAGGAGAAAATCACTAGCACAAATAGGAAGAAACCACGCGAACGGTCTACGATTAAACCGTTGAAGTCGATAGAAGTGACTGCACGTATTGAACAGTTGGAGAAAGATCTCCGAGAACTGCAACGCAGCACGCAAGCGCTACTGGGTCAAACGAGAAACGTCTTGCTGCATAATTTTGCGGAGCCAGTCATTCGCGATACTAAGCGCAACGAAAGAAGGATCGCAGACACGTTCAAGATGTTTTCCGATTGGTGGGTATATCGGCCAATACGCCCTTTAATAAGTGTCACAGGGTTGGGTTGTGGAGGAAGAACCAGACAGCCAGACCTAGGGCTATACTAGTAGTATTTTACAGCACATACAGCCGGGACCTTGTGCTCTCTGGTGTTGTTGCAGTGAAGATGAACACCGGAGGGTGCATCAAAGTCACCCCTGACACAGTTCATCAAGCCCAGCGGGGCGTCATTCCCATTTTTCCTGCAACAGGATTAATACAAAAAAGAAGCCCGGAGTTATTCTGAGCAAACTCAACGCCCATATGGCGCATGGAGTAGGGGTGGTCGAGGCATGCCAACGCAGTGTGGTCCATCAAAGTCTATTAGCTGGGTCACCACACCCCTAAAACCCAAACAAGATGGGCAAAAAGGCGATAGCCGAATGGAAAAAAGGCGGAGGCAGTCCCGAGCTTGAGTCCCTGGGAAGAAAGCAGATAAAAGAAGAGCCGACGGCCCCCCAAAGGCCATTCTGTCGGAGCCATCTAAGGCTGAAAGAGTAAAAATGATGGTTGAGTCTGAGGTTGCTGATACCAAGGCGAAATCAGCGTCCGTCAGTTGGGCTACAGTGGGAGTTAGGAATATCCAGGACTCTCTTCCTCTGAGTAGAACACTATCCCTGCTTAGAAGGCAACGAGTGCCGGCGAAACCACTCGGTGAGAAATTTGGGTAAACTCTCAAAGAAATAACGAAGTCTGTGGGGGTGTAGCCTGGTCGTTCACGGAGCCTGATCGCCCGGGACCCGCAGATATGCATCAAAAAACGTAATAGCTCCTCGGGCCTTAGATCCCAGGATCCATCCCAAGCGATAGAGGAGAAATGTATGAAGGCTGAGGCGGACACCGTCACAGTGTGGTATACTAACGCCTGCAGTGTCAGGGGGAAATGGGGAGATTTGGTGACGCGCACGCGAAACTCGGTGATGATAGCTATCACTGAAACTTGGGTGCGGCATGAGCAGGATTTGGGGAAGCCCAGAGACCACTCGGCTTAAAGGCAAGATAGAGTGGACGGCAGACAAGGCGGAGGAGTACTCCTGCTGGTCAAAGCCGCTTAAACTCAATGGGACTCAATAATAAAACTGGCGACATCTAATATTGAAGCCAAGGCGTGCAGTATCCTCTTGGGAAGACGACCGTTAGGAATGCTACTAGTATATCGCGCACCCAAGGGGAAACCCAAAGAAGACATGAAACTACATGCTACAATGTAGGAATTCCTATGGAGGACCAAAAGGATCTTAATTCTGTATGATTTCAATCCTCCGGAGAGGGTAGAGAGAGAGGCTACCGTTGGCACAAAGGGAGAAAGCTTTCTCACATGGCTACATACGCATGCGCTGATTCAGCATATGATGCAGGCCACAAGGTTTCGAAACCAACAGAGGGCCCTCGTCGTGGACTGAGTTATAACGCGGTATTTATCGGACATATATGGGGTAGCAGTGGAGAATACACTGGGTAAGAGTGACCATGGGGTAATTAGGTTATTATTACCCATGAAACAGCAAACCGGCTGCTCCACTTGAACGGTGCTATAGCCGTACAAAAGGCCGCAGAACACTTGGATTGGGTGCCACTAGCTCCCGTGCCAAAGTTGGAACAGCGACGGTCTCGCA